CAACAAAAGAAATCACAAAATATTAATCACTGTTGAGTAGCTATGTGCCATTTGCTGTCGTCGATGGCGCAGGCACGGCCCTAGCACTGGCTAGCCGGGCGTCAGCTAGCAGTCGTGATCATCGTTTGAATGGCAGCCGCACCGTGGCAAAGCTGTTGAAAAACTGATATATTTCGCTATTCCTGGACATGGTTTTCGGCGCACAGCACACGCAGTATTCGGCCGTACTTGGTTACTAATGTTAAATGCAGTTCATTTGGCGTACCGTAGCTGCTCAGCAGCGTCAATAAGGCGTAAAGAATGTATAGTCAGTCTGGAGACAGCGCAAGATGTTAAAAACTGAGGGGTAGGGAGGGCGTGCACAGCTAACACTCAAACGCGCTCAACCCTGACCTGACTCATGCTTGTGATGAGAAAGAGTACTGCTGAAGAAACGAGCGCAGCGAACATTGGTTAAGGATAAACATGGCTATGTATTCGTGGGTGGTGGGTCATAGTTGGCAGTTCGTACGACGGACGGCGCTCTTGTCAGTCAACATCCACATTTCACAATCCTAATAGCCGACCTTAATAGTCATGTTAGTTTTGCAACAGCAAACCGCAAATTAGAGAGATAGAAAGGCATTGATATTTCCACTTTTTTATGTCTTCCAAACATTCTCATGCCCATGGCTCTAGTCGGGACCGTGACTATGATCGTCGCCCAGACTATGGGCGAGATAGCAGAGACAAGAGGGAAGATCGTGGCTCACACCACCACCATCGTTCTCAGCGGGAGTGAGTCTCTTTTTATCAATAGATAGTGATATTATGTCACGAATATCTTCAACTAAGGAGCAACTTCTGGCAACTTCGCAGGACCGATGCGGACCGCATGAGAGGGGAGCAGGACCGTGCTGCAAGAGCAAAGCCAGTTCATCATGTGCGCTCTAGAGGAACGCATGAATCTCAATCACCTTACCGGGTGAGGCGGCATGCGGGGTTGGGGCCCGCTTTTGCGATGTACGTCGGCCGTTGACGTGGTACGCATAGCCTACACCTGACCAGGTTTAATACATTCAAACATCCCCCCCGACTAAAATTTCGTGCAGGACCGCGGAGGTGGCTACCACACTGGCACGACGCCCAACAAAGCCAAAGGCAGTACGCCGGGGTAAGTCCGGATGGTCACCTTGTGGTGTGACTGATCGCTCCATCACTGCTCCCTGCGCTGCTTTCCCTTCTACTACTCCATTCACTTTGCATATTCTTGGGTGGTAAGCTTTATAGCAAAGGTTACAGTCACGCACGGGGAGGTGCCAGCAGGCGCTCATAAGGTGCAACCAGCCACCCGTCCTAGCTACCTTGATAGCTGTTGTCTTTGCGCTATTTTTACTCCTCCCGATCCAACTCCACTCAACCGAACCCCCAAACCCGCTTTCAGGCCCAAGGGCAATTCAGTGCTTGCGGAGCTGTTGCGCACGGCGAAGGCGAAGCAGCAGCAGGAGCAAGGACCTGGCGGCGCGGGATCCGTTCCTGGCTCTGGCTCTGGCAGCGATGGAGAGCTGCCTGAAGCAGGTGGGGGAAGGGTTGTGCCTGGGTGGGTCAGCTCCGCTAGGGGGTAGTCCAGGAGAGGGTCGGAGGGGGAGAGCTCTGTCTTGAGGCAGGCGGTCAGCGGGTTGTTGGGGGAGAAAGACGAACCACGAGCGAGTGAAGCTGATGTAAGGGGGGTTTGCAGTCGTTGACATAGCGGAAAGGCGCGAAAGAGGGGCGAGGTTGGTCCAGATACAGAGTGAACGTCCCCTGTTGGAAATGACCGGAAAACGCCCATATACCAGTGGATGGTAATAGCAGTAATAGGACCCGGGGGGGGGGGTCCGTGGCGCTTTGCTGGTCTTAACATCCCCTGGCCGATTTTGGCAAATTGCGGGGGGTTGATTGGCGGGCTGGGATTTACCGGGGGTTGAGCTGGGTAGCATGAGTGGGGGTTCGTGTCGGTGACGGGGTTGCATAGATAATGATGGATTTTGTCGGATAGACCTCAGAGTATCTTCTGGTCAGAACGGGGATCTGGTCGGTCAGAGCGGTGCTGCCAGTCTATGAAAGCAGGGTGGGCTGGGTCGATGGGTGGGACGGGCTTGCCAAGCGGACAAGAGGGATGGAGGGAGGGCGCATGGTGTAAGGTGGGAAATGCGGGTGGGCTGCAACGGCAGAACTGGGGGCCACAGCACATCACAGGAGGGAACCTCATCAGCGGGTTGGTGGCGTTCCGCGCCAGTCATGAGGTGGCCCAGGGCAACTCAGGCAGGTTGAAGTGGGCTTAGTGGGTTTCAAATTACGGTTACTCTTATCCCTTCGTCACGACGGTAATGGAATGACGTGACATGAAGCACCCTAGCACAGGCCCACCCGCCAATCCTGCCCTGGGGCTGCCTACGGGTTCCCCAGCGCGCCCTCCTGACGGCCATTCATTCGCGTGCGGGACAGCCATCCTTGCCGTTTGCGATGTTTCTCGTTGTTGTAGAACACCCAACAAGGCGTGAGCTTTTGAATCCGGGTCCTGACGTTGCCCGAATCGCAGGTGAGATTCTACCGCCGCCTCCTGCCGTACCAGGGGCTGGCCAGGCCGCTGCCGGGGCTGGCGCGACGGCTGGCACCAAGCGTCGATACCATTCGCCCATTATCTGGAACCTGGATGGTCCGGGAGGAGCAGGTTTGTTCTGGAGTACAGCACGTGGTGCAAGGGGTAAAACCGCAGATGGTGCGGGCGCTGGGGAGCTTGCTGAATAGGGCTTAGTAACGCGCGGAAGATGGGAAAAGTTGGAACGGGAAGGGCGGAAGGGAAGGAAGGGAGGGTTTCGCGGAAGGAAGGGAGGGTTTCGGAGCGAAGAATGTAGGGGCCCCGGGTGGGCGATGTTGGGTTGGGAAAGGAGGCAGAACCCTGTCCAAATGCCATCTTGTTTCTCCGATAACAGGACGGAGCGGGGCGGGTGGTGGAGGGGCTGGCGGCGGCGAGGGCAGACCGCCGCCTGCAAAGCGCCAAGCGCCAGCATCGGCGGTGGATCGCGCGGCAGAAGAGCTGGCGGCGTTCCGACGGCAGCAGGCCGAGGCAGCGGCAGCGATGGGGTACGACCCCGATGGCCCGCCTGCCATGAAGGCATCGCCGTCGGCATCGGAGTCGGAGGAAGGTACGCGACGCGGAGGCAGTGGCGGTGGCGAGCCGGCCGATGGTATTTGCTACTGAGTTGTGTTTTACGGTACATGCCCATGGCACGGGGATTGAGAACATTTGGGATTGCGAAGATGGTACGAAGATCGAAACGGCTTTCCGTTTTCGGGATAGGCCATGGGCGCTGCCCGCCCGCCGGAGTAATCTGTTGTTCCTGCAGCCCTATGTGGGTGCCGAACGTTACGACGACGGCTAGCCCCTCTCCAAGCACGTCCCAACAGTGCGCTTTCTTAGCTTAGCCTTGCAGTCAATGAAATCTTCTTCTTTCCTCTCCTGCACCTCTCCAATCGTGGTAGCGGAACTATGCGTTCAGCTATGTGAACTAACCGCCCTCTCCTTCGATTTGCATGAATCCGACCTGCCTTTTCTTTCTCCTATGTGCCGTGGCGGACAGGCGACCTGGGCGGCGTCCGTCGCGGCTGGGAGTCCCGTAGCAGCGCGGATCGCGGCGATGCGGACGGCGGCGGCCGCTTAGGTGGTCGCGAAGGCGAGGCGGCGGACAGGGAGCTGCATGACCGCGATCGCGACCGGGAACGTGAGCCGCGTGATCGTGACAGGGATCGAGACCGGGCTAGGGAGAGGGATTGGGATCGACACCGGAGTCGGAGCGTGGACCTGATGGACGTTGAGCAGGAGCACGACGAGGAAGAGGAGCACGACGAGGAGATGTACGAGGACCGACCCAGAGGTATGAATGAGCGCTGGTCGCCACCGTATGTTCATACATGCCTTTGTCAGTTTGTGCGTGTATCGGGGTCTCCGGTATCTGGGTCCCCTTCGAAATAAGTGCGCCTTGCTGCTTACTCGCTACCACATCCGCGCTCCTTTCCACGCACGAATGCGCCATCTCGCATGGTGGCCCTTTCCTTTCTCCGGGTGTGCTGTGTTGTTAATCTTCTAATATAATCCACCCCTTGGTGCCCTGGTCCCATTGGCGAGATCAGGTGGGTCTCGCTGGTTGGATGCAGAGGCGCACGCGGAAGAGGAAACGGAGGAGCCTAGGGTACGCAGCGGCGGAGGCGGTGGTGGTGGTGGTGGTGGCGGCGGCGGCTGCTCCGGGCCCGGAGTCGTCGACGATATGCTAGATGATCCGGAGCGCGGGAGAGGTACGCTGGGGCTTCGGAAGCGCATGGGCGGTGAGGTGTAACGGAATCCCCTTATTCCCCTGGCGACGCAGATGGTGCCATGGGTGGTATCCAGGTTGGTGGTCAGGTGTTCGCCAGTTAGGGTGTTTTTGTCCATTTCTCAGTTCTTCTCCATCTCTCACTCACTCTCTCTATCGGCCGAACTGCAAGGAACACTGTGTCCTAACCACGTCCTTACTAGCAGGTGCATCCCCTAGTCCACGACGGGCAGTTTCCACGGGCGGGGAGGTCTTTTCGGGGCGCGATGGCGCCGGCGGCGGGGCCCGGGGGTCCAGCCCGTCACGGACGCCGGAGAAGGCGGATGCGCCGGACGGCGGCGGAGCCGCGGGCACAGGCGGGGCTGCCGGCGCCGGGGCCGGTGCTGGCACCCGGCCTGGCGGCGACGACGGTGGGCCGGCCGCTGGTGACGGCAACGAGCCGCTGATTAGTCCGTGAGTCACGGCGGGATGTGTGGCAGACGTAGGCCTGTTTGGGTTGTGGTGTTTGGGGGGAGTAGCCTTGTGTTCAGTTTTATAATTCTATCTACAATCTTTAACAAAGAAGACGTGCATGCTTCGAAACATTTTGCAATAGGGGTTTAAATACGCATTTCCACGTTCTTCTCCATACGCTGTCCCGATCTTTTTCCCCACAGGCAGATCGCCTCTTTGGCGGAGTGTCGGTCCGTGGACGAGTACGAGCGGCTCAATCGAATTAGCGAGGGCACGGTAAGCTGCTGCTGCTGCTTCCGCCGCTCCTGCTGCACCCTAACAACCGGGTTCGCGGTTGGAGAGAGTAAAGGAAAGGAAAATATGAGCGGAGCCATTTGCAATTCCGTTGGGCACAGCAAATGTACCTTTTCCACCATACTGAAGGTGAATATCTTGGATCCAAAAACATTCTCCTGAAAGATCGTACGCGCCTTCTTTCTGCTGCTCCCCTCCCCATCCCCACAGTACGGTGTCGTGTTCCGCGCGCGTTGCAAGCGTACAGGCCGCATTTGCGCGCTCAAAAAGGTGCGTGCTGCGGGTTGCTGCGTGGCTGCTAGTTTATAGGGCGGGCGGCTGGAGACCTCAGTTATTGATGCTGCTGGCGTCACCGCTATATGCAGATTAAGATGGAGAAGGAGCGCGACGGTTTCCCGGTGACCTCGATTCGGGAGATTAACATCCTGCTCAACCTGCACCACCCCAACATCGTCAACGTGTCGGAGGTGGTCATGGGCAGGTGAGCGCGTGCCAATTGGGAAAATTCAGAAGGCTGTCCCAACTGTTTTCTTTAACTTTCGAAGGTTGTTTTTTATGGCTTTTTTAAGAAGTTCTTCAGAGGGTGCATCGGCTTGGCGAATGTCCCCATGTGTCCCTTTGTCAGGTCTGCCTGTCTGTCTGTTTCTGTCTTCCACGTTTGCCTGTTTGTCTGTCTTTTTGCCTGTTTGTCTGTCTGTCTGCTTGCTATCTGCTGCAACCACTACTTGCGGGCCCACTGCTTCTCCTGCGTAGAGCCCGTACCCACCCACTGACATGCCCCCCTCCCTCTCTCTTCCCATTCTCTTTCCCTTCCCCCCTGGTCAGCCGTCTCGACCAGATCTACATGGTGATGGAGTTCATGGACCATGACCTCAAGTCCCTCATGAACGACAAGTCTCAGATGACCCGGCCCTTCAGCGTGGCGGAGGTCAAGTGCCTGATGCTGCAGCTGCTCGGCGGCATCGAGTACCTTCATGAAAATTGGGTCATACACAGGTATATGGGTCTGTATGTAGCTCTGTATGTGTCCTTGTGACCATGTTACACGCGGTGGGGGGCTTGCGTAAACCCTGTTCACCCTAGAGTTCGCAGGAACCGCCCCAACATGAGCTCATATAAAGGAGCTCAATGGCGTTCCAATGCTTACATCCAAAACAGAGAATAGAATTTGGTAGAGAATAGCACAGGAGAGAAAGAAAAATAAAAAGAGAAAAAGAAGCGGATAAATCTCTGAGCAGAGGTTTGGTGCGGGAAGTCAACGTCGAAAGGAAACCATTGAATTCCGCTAGGACAGGTGTTAGCTGTGCGCACATATAGGTATGCACGTGTCTCCCGCACCCGCACCCCGTGCGGCTGCCGCTAACGCTGGGGCCGTGCGTGGTTCAGGACTGGAGTTAGGCGCTCCCTACTGTGCAACCTTTTGTTCCTTTCTCTTCCCTAAGTCTTGAGGCCAGCCACTCCTTTGCTCGTACTCGCAACGCCCCCCGACCTCTCCACACATATAATCACACCCCACGACGGCGGCAGCTAACCCATTACTTGCACCATCACTATCATCATCACCACCGTTATGATCATCATCATCAACAACAACAGCAACGTCATCATCATCATCATTATATGCTTCCCACAGCCCCCACCCGCCTCACCTCCCTACCCCCTCATGCTCCCGCATCCCCTCGACCCCCCCTGGCCCCCAGGGACTTGAAGACATCCAACATCCTGTACAACAACCGTGGCGAGCTGAAGATCTGCGACTTCGGTCTCGCGCGCCAGTTCGGCTCCCCCCTGCGCGCGTACACCCAGCCGGTGGTGACGTTGTGGTACCGCCCCCCGGAGCTGCTGCTGGGGGAGCCGCTGTACTCCACCGCAGTGGATATGTGGAGTATTGGCTGCATCATGGCGGAGCTGCTGACGGGTGTGGGAGGCGTGGGGTGGGATGTTGAGGGGGTTGAGTTTGCCGGGGTGTTCAGGGGGATGACTCTGTGTGTGTGTGTGTGTGTGTGCGTGTGTGTGTGTGTGCGTGTGTGTGTCTATGTGTGTGTGTCTATGTGTGTGTGTCTATGTGTGTGTGTCTATGTGTGTGTGTGTGTCTATGTGTGTGTGTGTGTCTATGTGTGTGTGTGTGTCTATGTGTGTGTGTGTGTGTCTATGTGTGTGTGTGTGTGTCTATGTGTGTGTGTGTGTCTATGTGTGTGTGTCTATGTGTGTGTGTCTATGTGTGTGTGTGTGTGTCTATGTGTGTGTGTGTCTATGTGTGTGTGTGTCTATGTGTGTGTGTGTGTGTCTATGTGTGTGTGTGTGTGTCTATGTGTGTGTGTGTGTCTATGTGTGTGTGTGTCTATGTGTGTGTGTGTGTCTATGTGTGTGTGTGTCTATGTGTGTGTGTGTGTCTATGTGTGTGTGTGTGTGTCTATGTGTGTGTGTGTGTGTCTATGTGTGTGTGTGTGTCTATGTGTGTGTGTGTCTATGTGTGTGTGTGTGTCTATGTGTGTGTGTGTGTCTATGTGTGTGTGTGTGAGTGTCTATGTGTGTGTGT